GGTTGTATTATTTGATTCGCCGGAGAAGTGGAGCTTGCAAGACGTGCAGAAACTGTTCCCAAACGTCAAATGCGTTGGCGGAGACCCTCTTCATGCCTGGATGCACTTGGCGAAGTTCGTCAAAGAAGGCGACCGGCTCTGCAGGGATATGAAGAAGGTCATGCTGAAGTTCAACGGAAAGCCAGCGCCGACCTTGAAACACAAGCGGTACTTCGACGTCGGCCAACCAAGAGGACGCCACCAAGGTAACTTCGAAGCTCGCCCCTGTGAGCTCCGCAAGGCTTATGACAGAATCCATGATGCTACGTACCAGAAGAAGGCGTATTTGGATCACAAGCAGTACTGCATCAACGTAATGGCGGTGATGAGCATGCATGTGAAGGCGTGCGAAAGGCCGCTCACAGGACGTATATCCAAGTCGACAGTCCGCGACCTGCTCTCGAGGTACATGGCAGCGTCGCGTTTCTTTTTTTACCAGAACATACCAGTCTACAAAGGCAGAACTGGTTCATCGTGTACCTTCGGAACAACCCCAAATGAGGCGGTCATGTTCCAGCTAAAGGCGTACAGCGCAAACGTCTTCACGTCAAACCCCGAGCGATGCAAGCTTACTTTAGACCTTTTCTCGTTTGGAAAAGTGATCGCTCTGCACATGAAGAGGCGCGCTCCAGAGGGAATGCCTGACATCAAGGCGGCGTCTTGGCACGCCCACGCGATGGCAATCTTCCGCCAGCAACTCGAGCAAGGTCTCATGGCCATTCCCAAGTCGGTTAAGTTCGAGGAGTGGCGCGAGGCCCCAAAGAGGAGCAAGCGTAAGCGCACTTCCGCCGCTGGCCCAGCTAAGCGCCAGAAGTACTAGATGATGCCCGCGGCTTGCAATGCCTCCCTTTCCTCCGCAAATGATGTTGTTACATATATTCGCGATGTGCGTACTTGAAAATATGTGCGGGTTGCATTGTCGTTCGCGCTGGGGGGCCCCAGCTATTCCGCCGACCCCCCGCGGCAACGCTTGACTTACTGCGCGCGAGGGATTGCGCCTGCGCTTGCATTGCGTTGCACGTGCATTACGTTTGCGCTGCTTTTTGTTGCAGTAGCGAAGAAATAGCGGGAGGGGGAGAGGACGGAGAGTGGTAGAATTGAGGGAGGAGGGAAGAGGAAAGGAAAGGAGGGTGAGCGACGAATATGTTAAGATGTGACGCGTCGTATCCCCAGACCCCTGAGAGCCGCCGCGTGCGCGGAAAGCCGCTTGGTCAAATCGCACAAACGATCCACCGCGCGGCCCCCCCCCGCCATCCTCTGCACAACATATTATGCGCGCACATTTGTTCATCAAGTATTCTAAAAATGCAAGGGTCCTCTGCGAAATGCGAGATGAAGTGCACGCGCGCGCGTCGTCGCGCGCGCGCGCCGAAATCCGTCAAAGACTTTCGGTTCCGTAAGGATTTCAAAATCGAGTGGCAAACAAATATGTGAAACCATATGGTTTCGCGACACCGGTTTTCAGAAAGCGTGCGCGCGCGCTCTCGCGAATTGTCAGCGAAAGCTATGTCTATTGTTTTTCAACATGTTCAGCGCGTGCTACCAAACGGGCTTCGCGCGCGCATGTCGATATCGTTCGAGCGCCCTTGCGCACTTGCTGGGTTGGCACGATCCGTGTCGGATAAAACCACGCGGGCCACTCTCGCGCGTCTGCCGCGCGCGCACGTCGACCTCTTTGCAAAACCTTCATCGCCGGCGCGAAGACGCCGTCATCGTCGTCGGCGTGATCAGCATCGGCGCCGTCACTGGCTGCCCCGTCGTCGCTGTCCGCATCGTCGCCAGCATCGCTATTATCATCATCGTGTCTACCTGCGTCGGCGTGGCCATGATACCGCGCCCGCCGAGTCGCCGAGTCGCAGTGAAGTGCCCGCTGGGATGTGTCGAGCGGTCAGCGCCACCGCGTTCGCGTCGGTCGCAACAAACTAGCTGGCCACTGCGCGCGCGCGCATGCGCGGGCTGGCACGGCCGCAGGGGGTGCACCAGCTAACACCAAGCACTAATCTCAATGCTTGCGCATGGGTTTTGCGAACCAAGTTGCGGGTGGGTGAGTGGGGCGTTTGCTCGAACAGTGGAGTCGACAACTTCACGTGCGGCAAAGTGTTCACCTTGCTAAAAGAAGAGTAGACTCTACCCCCTCCGGAGTTAACGGGCCACCTTCTTGTACATTTACATATGAGTTTGCCCCACTGTCCATCCTAACTGTGAGTTCATATTTTCCCAGCCGAACCAGTATCGCCCCCCCCCCCGCCATCCTCTGCGCAAAAAATTATGCGCGCACATTGGGTTATCAAACGAATCATAAGTTTCAAGCATCCCTTGCAAAAAAACGGGACGACATGCACACGCGCGCGTCGTCGCGCGCGCATGCCGCAATCCATCAAAAACCACAGGTTTCGGAAGGATTTCAAAATCACGTTTCCAGAACACATACAAACACGAAAGGGTTTCGCACCACGGCGTCTTACGAAAACCATGCGTGTTTTCAACATTTCCAACAATTACTACCAAACGGGCTTCGCGCGCGCGCATACCGACATCATTCGAACGTCCTTGCGCGCGTGCCGTCGCGAGAATCCTCGGCACAGAATGGGACGAAGTGCAGACGCGCGCGTCGTCGCGCGCGCATGCCGGAATCCTTCAAAAACCCATGGCTTCGGACGGATTTCAAAATCGGGTGCTCAAGAAACATACAAAAACAAAAGGTCTCGCAACACGGGTTTTCAACAAAAGCGTGCGCGCGCGCTCTTGCGTCGTCGTCGTCATCGTCGTCGCCGTCCTCCCTCCTGCCTCGTCGTCGTCGTCGTCGCCGTCGTCGTCGTCTGTGTTTCCTCGTCGTCGTCGTGGTCATCTTGGCGTCGTCGTCGTTTCCGTCGTCGTAGTCGCCGTGGTCGTTCTTCCTCCCTCGTCGCCTTCCTTCGGCGTTTCGTCGTTGCCCCTCCTATTTCGGCGCCGTCGTCGTCGTCGTCGTCGTCGTCGTCGTCGTCGTCGTCGTCGTCGTCGTCCTCCCTCCTCGTTAGTCGTTGTCGTCGTCGCCGTCGTCGCCCTCCTTCCTCCCTCGTCGTCGTCGTCGCCTTCATTGGCGACGTCGTCGTCGTCGTCGCCGTCGTCGTCGTCGTCGCCGTCGTCGTCGTCGTCGGCGTCGTCGTCGTCGTCGTCGTCGGCGGCGGTGGCGGCGGCGGCGTCGTCGTCGTCGTCGGCGTTGTCATCGTCGCCGTCGTCGTCAGGGTCGGCGACGTCGTCGTCGTCGTCGTCGGTGTTGTCGTCGTCGTCGTCGTCGTCGTCGTCGTCGTCGTCGTCGTTGTCGTCGTCGTCGTCGTCGTCGTCGTCGTCGTCGTCGTCGTCGAAGTCGTTGGATACTCGCCCGCAACGTCTACCGTTGTCGACGTTGCCGTGGTGCAGCGCCTGCCCAAGTCGCCGACTCGCAATGAAGTGCCCGCTGGTATGTGCCCCACGATCAGCGCCACCGCGGCCGCGTCGGTCGCGCCAGACCAGCTGACCGCTGCGCGTGCGTGCTTGGGTTGGCGCGGCCGCAGAGAAGCACCAGCCAACGCCGAGCATGCATCGCAATCGCCACCCTATGGGTTTTGCAAACCAAGTTGCAGGGGGGTGGGTGGGATGTTTGTAAGAGCGCGGGATGTGTCAATTCGTTTGTGAAAATAAATTGCACCGCGTAGAACGCGCCGCATAAATTGCATTGCGTAGGTTGCTTTTGCGGGCGGTGCCGCCCGTCGCCGCCGTCGCCGTCACATAGGTTGCACCGCGTAGATTCTCATTTCTAAAAAACGAATAGATTCCACAACCCTCCCGAACCCGGACTTATCGGTATCTCCTGTGGATGTGCAATTTGCATATGATTCTGCCTCAGCGCCCATTTTAAGTATGAGCTCGTACCATCTTAGCCGAGCCGGTATCGCCCTCCCCGCCATCCTTTGGAAAAAAATATGCGCGCACATTCGCTTATCACAAATCATCTGTTTACAAGAATCCTTCGCGAAAGTGCCCGCGCGCGCGTCGTCGCGCGCGCGTGCCGGAATCCTTCAAAAACCGGTGGTGTCGTGAGGATTTTCAAATCGAGCGTCAAACAAACATATAAACACATTTTTTTTCGCAGCGCGGATTTCCAAAAAGAGTTTACGCGCGCGTTCTTGCGAATTCATAAAAGAACCACTGGTTTTTACTTATGTGATTCAGCTGCTGCCAAGAGGGCTTCGCGCGCGCATGTCGAAATCGTTCGAACGCCCCTGCGCGCGTGCCGTCGCGAGAATCCTTTGCAACAAATGGGACGAAGTGCATGTGCCCGCGTCTTCGCGCGCGCATGCCGAAATCTGTCAATAACCTTGGGTTTCGTGGCGATTTCAAAACCGAGTGTCCAAACAACATAAAAACATGGTTTCGCAACGTCAGTTTTCAAATGAAACATATTTTCAACATTTTCATGGAAGTCTGCCAAACGGGCCTCTGGCGCCGCATGTCGAAATCATTCGCGCGCCCTTGCGCGCGTGCTGGGGGGGGAAGGGGCGCGATCCGTGCCAAATAAAACCATGCTGGCCACTCTCGCACGTCGAGCGCGCGCGCGCATGTCGAACTCTTTCCAAAACCTTCATCTCCGACGCGAGGACGCCGTCATCGTCGTCGGCGCGATCAGCATCTGCGCCCGCACTGGCCGCGCCGTTGTCGTTGTCGACGTTGCCGTGGTACCGCGCCCGCCCAAGTCGCCGATTTGCACTGAAGTGCCCGCTGGAATGCGCCCTGCGCCCGCATGCCGCCACCCTTGCAGTTAGGCACGCTCTCACACGCGTCGTGGCTTCATAGGGAGTTCCACCTGAGGCCTCACCCAAGGCACCAACGGCTGCGCCCACATGCCCCCTTCTCCCTACCACCTCCTTCTCCCCCATCCTCCGCCCTCCGCCTCCGCTCCTTTTCCGGCCGGCCGCCTCCGCTCCTTTACCTGCCGCCCGCAGGCGGCCAGCATACGGTACGTGGTAGCGCCCTACGAGGCCGACGCGCAGATCGCCTACCTGCTCCGGCACGGCCACGCTGCGGCGGGCGTGGCGGAGGAGCCCGTGTCAGCGATTACAGCCCGTGAGGGAGGGAGGTGCAGGAGGGAGGAGGAGGGGAGGGAGGAAGAAAGGGAGGGGAAGGGAGGGGACGGGACGGGAGGGGAGTTGAGGGGTGGGGAGAGGGAGGAGGAAGGGGAGGGGATGATGATGATGATGATGATGATGATGATGATGATGATGATGATGATGATGATGATGATGAGGAGGATGAGGAGGAGGAGGAGGAGGAGGAGGAGGAGGAGGAGGAAGGGGAGGAGGGAGAAGAGGAAGAGGAGGGAGCAGGAGGAGGAGAAGGACAGGAGCAGGAGGAAGAGTAGAGGGAAGAAGAGGAGGAAGAAGAGGAGGAAAGGAGGAGGAGGAGGAGGAAAAGGAAAAGCATGGCGACGATGATGATGATAATGATGATATGATGATGATGATGATGATGATGATGATGATGATGATGATGATGATGATGATGATGATGATGATGCTGATGATGATGATGATGATGATGATGATGATGATGATGATGATGATGATGATGATGATGATGATGATGATGATGATGATGATGATGATGATGATGATGATGATTGTGATGATTGTGATGATGCTGATGATGCTGCTGATGATGAGTTGGAGGAGGATGAGGAGGATGAGGAGGCGGAGGATGAGGAGGGGGAATGGGGAGGGGGAGGAGGAGGAGGAGGAGGACGAGGAGGAGGAGAAATAATAATATGAAGAATACTAATACTTCTAGTACTAATAGCCGAAAGAGGACACAGCATCATACTAATAGTGGCAATAATATCAAGAACAAGGCGAGACATAACAAGAGCATTGCAACGAGTACTAATAGTACTAGTATTAGGAATGCGATTAATATCACAAAACATACTACGGCGAAACAGAAGAAGGAAAAACCTGATACTAATAGAAACTATGAGAATTGTAACGAAGCATAATAATCATAAGCTTTCGAAGAGCACGACGAATAATAATATTTCGTGAAGAAGAACCGTACATATAGGAAGTATAAGAACAACATGAATAACATAATTACTCCAGTAATGGCAAGTAATATAGGTAATAGTACTATTAGCGCCAATAAACATAATAACGATACCAATGCTAAGGATATTAAGAATGACGAGCAAGATCAAGACGAATGATATTGCTAACATTGTGAATAATAGTAGTACGAGGATACTCGTAATATTAATAAAAGCAGTAATCATACGAATAATAATGCGAATCCGCATGCTCATAATAATAAGGCAACGACGAATAATAGCAATTCTAAGGAGGGGAAGCAGTAAAACTAATCACAGTAATCATATGAAGAAGAATGCGAGTAGTAAGACAAATAAGAAAGTGCGTGTTCTACCGCTGCTGGCGGAAAACCAGGGCGGGCCACGCGGGGTTCCCACCCCGTCCTCCCCCCCCCCCTCGAAAACCAGGGGGGCGTCACTACTGGTTCGAACTTTTGCCCCACCCCCCCCCGTCCATCATGAAAAGAAGGGGAGGGCTTCACTACTGGTTCAAACCCCCCCACCTCGAAAACCGAGGGGGGCCACTACCGGTTCGAACCCCCCCCTCACCCCCCCCTCGCCGCCGGCAGACGATTCCCGCTCATCGGGACAGTTGGACACTGGTGGGGATACTGGGACAGTGGTGGGAACGGTGGTGGCGGGGACAGTGGTGCGGGGACAGTGGGACAGTGGTGCGGACGGTGGTGGGGACGGTGGTGGTGGGGACAGTGGGCAGGGGTCAGCGGGACAGTGGTGGGGACAGTGGGACATTGGTGGGGACGGTAGTGGTGGGGACAGTGGTGAAGGCGGTGGTGAGGACGGTGGTGGGACAGTAGTATAGTGGGGAGAGAAGTGGGGACAGTAGTACAGTAGCGTGGTTTTTTTCGGCACGGATCGTGCCCCTCCAGCACGCGCGCGAGGGCGCGCGAATGATGTCAGCATGCGGCGCCAGAGGCCCGTTTGGCAGGAACCCATGAAGATGTTTGAATCAAGTCTACGGTTTTCTCAAGAATTCGCAAGATCGCGCGCGCCAACTTAGTTTGAAAACTGATGTTGCGGAACCATGATGTTTTTTTGACATTCGGTTTTGAAATCGTTGCGGACCCGAAGGTTTTTGAAGAATGTCGGCATGCGCGCGTGACGACGCGCGCGTGTGCACTTCGTCCCGTCTGTTGCGCAGGGTTCTCGCGACGGCGCGCACGGGGGTGTTTGGGCGATTTCGACATGCGCGCGCGCGAAGCCCGTTTGGTAGTTTTTTTTGGGGGGGTAACTGTTGAAGAACCAATGGTTTTAGTAAGACTTCGCAAGTTCGCTTTTGTTCTGTGTTTATACATATGTATGTATGTTTACACTCACACGGATATAGATATAGGTTAAAATAATCAGTACTGCTACACTTTGCTTGGTAATATATACAACTGTGAATGTGTATATATACATATATATATTGCTATTTATATGTATATGTATATGTATATGTATGTATATGTATGTATGTATGTATGTATGTATGTATGTATGTATGTGTATATATATATCCAGAAATGTATAGACATTTGTGGCACTCGATTTTGACACCCTTCCGAAACCGAGAGTTTCTGAAGGATTCCGGCATGCGCACGCGACGACGCGCGCGCGTGCACTTCGTTTTTTTTTTTTTTTTTTTTTTTTTTTTTCCCCCCCCCCCCCCTGCAATGGGGTATTTGAAAACAAATGATTTTTGATCGACGGGTGCGCGCATATTTTCTTGCAGAGAATGGCGGGGCGGTGGTCGATGCCAGCTCGGCTGGGATGTTACGAATTCATTTCGGACGGACGACGGGCAGAATCATATGTATTTTGCAATGCGGAAAAGGGCGCCGATTTTCCCTGGGGGGGGGATCGAGTCTATTCTCTCCTTCGAAAGGAGAGTTCACTTGCCGAACTCCAGGTCGTCAACTCCATTGCATGCGCCATCGCCCCGCCCGCCCGCCCGCAACCTGGTTCGCAAGATCCACGCGGGAGCGATTGCGATGAGTGCGTGGCGTTGGCTGGTGCATCTCTGCGGCCGCGCTAGCCCGCGCATGCTCGCGCGCGCAGCGGTCACCTAGTCTGGCGCGGCCGACGCGGCCGCTGTGGCGCTGACCGTTCGGCACATCCCAGCGGGCATTTCAGTGCGACTCGGTGACTTGGGCGGGCGCGGTATCATGGCAGTGCCGACAATGGTAGGCGCGATGCTGATAGTAGCGATGCTGGTGGCGATGCTGACGGCGCCGCCGGGGCAGCCTGCGACGGCGCCGATGCTGATCGCACCGACGACGATGACGGCGTCTTCGCGTCGGTGATGAAGTCTGTGGAAGGAGTTCGACGTGTGCGCGCGGTAGACGCGCGAGAGCGGCCCGCGCGGTGTCACTCGACGCGGATCGTGCCACCCCGGCGCGCGCGCAAGGGCGTTCGAACGACTCCGACTTGCGCGCGCGCGAAGCCCGTTTGGTAGTTTTTTTTCGTGAGTGTTGAAAACCTCATGCTCTCGTTAGGGATTCGCAAGGGCGCGCTCCCCCCCCCGAGCCGCGTGTTTTTAAATGTGTTTCTTGGGCGCTCGATTTTGACATCTTCCCGAAGCCGAGAGTTTTCGAAGGATTTCGGCATGCGCGCGCGACGACGCGCGCGCGTGCACTTCGCTTCTTTTTTTGCAAGCGGTTCTTGAGAACAAATGATTTGATCAACGAGTGCGCGCGCATATTTTCTTGCAGAGAATGGCGGGGTGGCGGTCGATGCCGGCTCGGCTGGGATGGCGTGGGTTTATATTTCAGGATGGGCGATGGGCAGAATCATATGTATTTTGCAGTGCGGAAAAGGGCGCCGATAATCCCAGGGTGGGTGGGTGGGCGTAGAATCTTTTCTTTGTTTGGAGCGGGGACTTCACGCGCGGCAACCAATGGAGTGCAATCTACGCGGTGCTATCTAGGTGGTGCAATTAATTCCTGTTCGCAGTGAGTTGCGCGCTCCGCTGCTCGCGCAAACCCCCCCGCCCGCCCGCCCGCAACTTGGTCTGCAATCCTCGCGCGGCAGCGATTGCGATGAGTGCTTGGCGCTGGCTGGTGCATCTCTGCGGCCGCGCTAGCCCGCGCATGCTCGCGCGCGCAGCGGCCAGGTATTTTGGCGCGACCGACGAGGTCGCGGTGGTGCTGTCTGCTCGGCGCATCCCAGCGGGCACTTGAAAGCGAGTCTGCGGCTTGGGTGGGCGCGGTATCATGGCAACGTCGACGCATGCTGACGCGATGACGATGATAGTGGCGATGTTGGTGGCGACAAGTGTAGACGCGATGATGATGATGCTGGCGATGACGGCGCCGATGCCGATCGCGCCGGCGACGACGACGACGGCGTCTTCGCGTCGGCGTTGGAAGGTTTTCGACATGCGCGCGCGGCAGACCCGCGAGTCGCTCGCATAGTATTATTTGACGCGGATCGTGCTACCCCAGCGCGCGCAAGGGCGTTCGAACGATTTCGACGTGCGCGCACGCGAAGCCCATTTGGTAGCGTGTTATGAAGATGTTGAAGCACTTTTGGTTTTCTTGAATTCGCAAGCACGCCCGCGCACGGTTTTGTTGAACATGCGCGTTGCCAAACTTTTTGTTTTCGCATGCTTTTCGGGCGCTCGATTTTCGAATCCTTCCGGAACCGATGGTCTTGAAGGATGTCGGCGGGCGCGCGCGACGACGCGCGCGCGTGCGCTACGTGTTTTTTGTTTTTGCAGGGGGCTCTCGCGATGGCACGCGCGCAAGGGCGTTCGAGCGATTTCGACGTGCGCGCGCGAAGCCCGTTATGTTGCATTTTTCGAAGATGTTGAACAACCTATGGTTTGCTTAAGAATTCGCGCGGGCGCGAGCGCTTTTGTCTGAAAATCCGTGCTGCGAAACCTTGTATGTATGTATGTATGTATATATATATATATATATATATATACATATATATTTATATACGGGTGGGGCGCTCGATCTT